AACTCCTAAAAAATTCACCTTCCAAACAGGACCTTAATTAGAAGTAGACATATGCAGTTTCTCGTGGATAATTATTATTTCACTTAGTGAGCTGGCCTCGCAAACCACAAATCCCGTAGGAATATGAATTTTCAATCAGTACACTATCCTCTCTCGTTGAGTATAAACATTTGAGATAGAGGCAAAATCGTTGAGTATCTCGTTGAGATAGAGTGTGTTTGGATAGAAAATTATTTGAGATAATTTTGTACAAAACACACAGTAACACTTTTTTAATGTGATATATGTGCAATAAAAAAGTGATTGAAAAATATGTTGATGATACAAGCAAATCAGTGTATGTAAATAAGGTGAAAATAATGTATAATCCAAACACACCAAACACACCGATTAATGACATTTGAAAGAAGCACAGTAGGAATGGCTACGAGCACTTGTTTGGATCGTAAATTTTTGGAGTTTATATATATAAATATATATAAATATATATATATATATATATATATATATATATATATATATATATATATATATATATATATATATATATATATACTGTAATGATATGGTTATACGTACGATAAGAACGTAATCAAAAAATAAATATCTTGAAAAAATATTTCAAATTTTTTGTGCAAAAATTCGTAATCTATAAACAATGCACATCTTCTATTTTGACTGCCAACAAACTTCAAACCGTAAACAGTAGTTTCATTCATCAAACTGATTTAAGACTGTGACAGCGCAACACTCACTATATAACAAAATTCACAAACAGTCTCCTCAGGAAAATGGTAATTACAAGTGTGGACCATTTCTGAGAAGCTTCGTATTTTGTACGCATTTCCGTCAGGAAAACGGCTGAATAGTTTGGTAGATGCGATGACTTACAACTTTTTCCAGACGAAGACCACTTCGGCCACTAACGTGTTCCCAGAGCTTGTATTAGATGATGGCCTTGGTCAATATATATATATATACTAGGTAAGTTTGGTGCCAGGTTGGTGTTTTTAAATATTGGTAAATTGCTTAAATGTGTGAGTATATTTTAGAAATTTTTGAGAAAGTATGGCGGTAGGATTTTTTATTAATATATTGTGTAGTGTCGCATTTTGCATTTTTTTATGTTTTAATTTATTTGTAAAAATTTTATTAATTTTTTAATGTATTTTTTTTTTAAGTTTTTTTTTGTATTTTTAATTTGTTGTTTGTTTCACATGTGTATAGTAGTTGATATTCTTTGATGGCAGGATTTCACATGTGTACAGTTGGTGCTTGTTTGGAACTAAGATGTGTTAGGTAACAGCTCTACCCCAAGAATGGAGCTACCCCAAGAATCTGACAGTTATGGAATTGGGTCCAAACCTGTTCCAATTCAATATCCCAAACCGGGACGATAAAGAAAGAATTTTGGCAGGGGGTCCTTGGTTAATGGATAACCAAATCTTAGTGTTGAACAGATGGTCTGAAGGGGTTGAAGATGACTATGGTGCTTTTGTTACTGCTCCTTTATGGGTTCAGATTTGGAACCTTCCCATGCATTGGCTTTCCAAAGAGGTGGGCAGGAAAATAGGAGCAGTATTTAAGGATATAAAGGAAGTGGTTATCCCTCAGGAAGGGGGAAAAGAAGGTAGGCACCTGAAAGTGTTAGTGCATGTTGATCTGTCAAAACCCCTGCTCAGAGGAACATTGGTGCAGGTAGCAGGGTCACTCAAGTGGGTTGCTTTTAAGTATGAAAGGTGCCCAGATTTCTGTTATAAGTGTGGAATAGTAGGACACGGGGAACGGACTTGCAAAGAACGTATAGCTGTTCCAGAAGGTATGCTAGAGAACCAATACGGACCATGGATGCGAGCTGGGATTAACAGAAGCCCAGCAAAGGAAAGAGTGGTAAGGGATGATACGGTGAAGGATAAAAGATATTGGAAGTTTCAGAATGGAGAAATGGTGGAGAGGGAGAAGTGTAGGATCCATTCTGGAGAGGTGCTTCTTAAGGCTCTTAGAACCTCAGGGGTAGGAAATAGAAGTACCCAGGAGGTTACGAATGAACAGGAGGATGAAAGGGGAGTCCTGCGAAATCGAAGTGAACCATATACTAATGTGGAAACTAGCGGAAGGGAACATGGGCGTAGTGAAGATCCCCAATCCTCGAATAAGGAGAATATTGATGTTCCTAGTTTAGACCAAGTGAATGTAGAGGAAAATCAGTCTATAGCTGAAATGGAGGATATGGAGGAGGACAGAGAAGGTTGCACAAGGTGGCTGGTTCAGGAGAATAGTTTACTAGAGATTCCAGTTCGGATGGCAGGGAGGCAGGAAGAGTCCCAAGGTATTGTAAAGATTCAAGAAGCTATTAACAAGCAAGTCAAAAGGTCTTACAAGAAGTTGAAGTCCCCTATGAAAACACGAAGGGCTCTGAAAGAAAGGAATGATCAGGATAACATCTTTGAAGGAAGAAGGAAAAGGAAGGTTCAGCTATATGATGAGGATATGGAGGAAGCGCATCAGCAAGAGGCATCAGGCAAACGAGCTAAGCCTCTGGAAATAGTGGATTACACAGCTATGAGAGAGGTGGAGGTGGGGTCCTTCCCTAATGGGGCCCCCCAAAGGAAATGAGGGCTCTGGTGTGGAACTGTCAAGGAGTGGGGAGCCCCTTGACAGTTCCCCACCTGAGGGAGGTGAACAACCTCCTCTCCCCAAATGTGATCTTCTTGTGTGAGACTAAGAATAGGAAACTAGTGGTAGACAGGATGGCAAAAGGGTTAAGGTTTGATAATTGTTTTGTAGTGGAAGCAATGCACAAGGCAGGTGGTATGGCTGTGATATGGAAAGAGGACACTAATGTCAGGGAAATCAATCAGACTGCGTTCACCATAGAGGTCAGAATTGAGGATCAAGAGTCTCAGTGCGATTGGTGGCTTGTAGGGATTTATGCGAGTTGTGATCCTCAAATTAGGAAGGAACAGTGGAGAGTTTTGAGGGATAGAAGTAGGCTGTGGGGAGGTAGATTCTTGATTGCAGGGGATTTCAATGATATAGTGTCGAATGATGAAAAGTGGGGTGGAACTCTCAGGGAGGAGAAAAGCTTTAAGGACTTCAAGGATTTTATCAACCAGAATAATTTGATAGATTTAGACTATGAAGGACATCCTTGGACTTGGAGTAACCACTGGGAGGAAGATGGAGAAATCAGACAGAGGCTAGACAGATGTCTTGCTATCTATGAATGGGTCCAGACTTTTGAGAAGACAAGATGTCAACACCTGGATACCTTTGCTTCTGACCATAGCATGCTCTTTTTAGATACCGAGCCACATAAGGAAAAAAGGAAGAAGAAGTTCTTTTTTGATAAACGTTGGCTTCAAAGGGAAGGGTGCCAACAGGTGGTAGAGAAAGCTTGGCAGTTGGAAGAGCCTGGTTCTCGAATGTTCAGGGTTACCAAGAAGATCAGAAATTGTAGGGTTGAACTATTGAAGTGGAGGAACACCTTCCAAGCAAATTCTAAAAGTCTGATTGAGGAACTAAGGAAAAAGTTGGAAGCTGTGAGAGTTTCGAATTATGTTAACAAGAAAAAAGCTACTGCTGAGATCAAATACCAACTGAAGGAGGCTTATGAAAAGGAGGAGCAATTCTGGTGTCAAAAGGCAAGGATCGATTGGCTAAGAGATGGGGATAAAAATACTATATATTTCCATGCTTATGTTAGAGGTAGAAGAACCAAGAATAAGCTTAGAAATTTGCAAAGGAATGATGGCTCATGGACGGAGAATGAGGAGGAAGTAACCACAGAAATTTCAAACTACTTCAGTGAGTTGTTTACCAGTGGAGGGAGGAGAGATATGACTGAGATGCTAGAGGGTATCCCCCACTCTATAACTCAGGAAATGAACACCAATTTAACTAACTCAGTTGAGGAAGAGGAAATTAGAGTAGCTCTCTTCTCTATGCAGCCTGATAAAGCCCCAGGCCAAGATGGCATGACCCCTTTATTCTTCCAACGTTTTTGGAGTACTATCAAAGGAGACTTGGTTCCAGCTATTCAGTCTTTCTTTAGCTCAGGATTCATGCTAAAATCCATAAACCATACTATCATTTCTCTTATCCCTAAAATCATGAACCCAACAAATGTGAAAAACTTTAGACCCATTAGCCTGTGTAGTGTCATCTACAAAACCATTTCCAAAATTTTGGCTAACAGACTGAAGCTTGTCCTGGACAAGTGCATAAGTAACACACAATCTGCTTTCATCCCAGACAGACAAATCTTAGATAATGTAATTCTAGCTCATGAGTACATGCATTACCTCAAAAACAAAAGGCAAGGAAAGGAAGGCTATATGGCAATAAAGTTGGACATGGCCAAAGCATATGATAGAGTGGAGTGGCATTTCTTACAGGCTATGATGCAAAAGATGGGTTTTTGTGCACAATGGATTACATGGATAACTAGCTGTCTGGAGACTGTCACGTATTCTTTCAATTGTAATGGGGAAACCAAAGGCTTTGTAAATCCTAAAAGGGGAATAAGACAAGGGGACCCTCTGTCCCCTTACTTATTTCTTATTTGCTCAGAAGGTTTCTCAAATTTGTTGAGAAAAGCTGAAGAGAGAAAGGATATAAATGGGCTGAGGATAAGCAGACATGGACCAGTCATTACTCACCTTTTTTTTGCAGACGATTCCCTCATTTTCTGTAAAGCAAACAAACAGCAGGCCGCAGAAATCATGAAGATTCTTAAAACGTATGAGGAGGCCTCAGGTCAGTTAATCAATCTAGAGAAGTCATCTGTTTTCTTTAGTAAGAATATGTCTTTGGAACATAGGCAAGACGTGTGCAGCTCACTGGGAGGAATGACAGAGATGCAACAAGGAAAGTACCTAGGTCTGCCTATGGTGATCTCTAGGACAAAAGAGTAAATCTTTGGTTTTATAAAGGAAAACATAAAGAGGAAGATACAAGACTAGAGGAACAAGTTACTGAGCACAGCTGGCAAGGAAGTAATGCTTAAAGCAGTCTCAATGGCAATGCCAACTTATGCCATGTCTGTGTTCAAGCTGCCAAGAAAGCTTTGTAAGGACATAAGTGCTCTGATGGCTAACTACTGGTGGGGAGAAGCAAATGGGAAAAACAAATTGCATTGGCTATCTTGGAAGAAAATGTCTATGAACAGGAATGCAGGAGGTTTGGGCTTCAAGGACATTGAAGCTTACAACAGAGCACTGTTGGGTAAGCAGATATGGAGAATCCTCACCAACCCAAACCTTCTCATTAGTAAAGTGCTGAGAGCAAGATACTTCCCAAAGGATTCTTTACTAACTTGCAGGCCACAACAGAATGCTTCTTGGATATGGCAAGGACTGTTAGGAGCTAGAAGTCTAATCGAGGAAGGGGTGATCAGAAAAATTGGTAACGGGAGAAGTACGAGCATTTAGGGCCATAAGTGGATTCCAGGTTCCAGTTCAGGTAGGCCAACCTCCCTTGGACCTCAAAGCTTCAACTTGAAGATGGTACATGAACTTATAAGCCATCATAGATGGAAGAGGAACACCATCTTCCAGCATTTTAATCAAAGCGATGCTGAGAAGATACTGAATATTCCTTTAAGCCTGATGGGGAGGGAGGACAACTACTATTGGCAGCATAATCCAGGGGGAACCTATACTGTCAGCTCAGGCTACAAATGTTTAATGAAAGAGCGTACCAAAGCTAGGCAGATAGTACCAGAGGCAGCTGGACCAAGCATCACAGGAGAAGGTCAGCAAGTTCGACAAATGTGGAACACCTTGTGGAAGCTCAACATCAAACATAAGGTGAAGATATTCATCTGGAAATGTTTAACAGGGGCACTACCAGTAAGAGCAGCAATTTTTAGGAAAACAAGTTTGGGAGATCCTGTGTGTAGATTATGTGGGGAGGACCAGGAAACAGTTGAACACTTATTGCTAAACTGCCACCACACGCAGCAGGTATGGAAGGCAGCTCCATTACAATGGGATGGTGCTGTTGATCAAACAGGGGATTTCAAAAGGTGGTGGATCAGAATTTCAGAAGCAAGGAATAGGCATGGAGGGATGGAACACATTGGCCTGACTGCCAATATCTTATGGCAGTTGTGGAAAGAAAGAAATAGCAAGGAATTTGAAAACAAGACCAGCTGCTCTCCAGTTCGGACAATTGTTAAAGCTCAAAAAGAGTGGCTGGAGCAAGAGGAAGTTATGAAAGGCAAAACTAGACTGAGCACAAGAGAAACATCTTTAAATCAGGATGAGCAATACCAGGGGAGCAATGAAGAGGACACCATCAAGCTGGAGGTGGCTACAACAAGCCAGAATGGTCAGGAACCACTGGGGATAGGAGTCACAGCTACCAAGTACCCAAGTATTAGACTTGCGGAATGGGCACTCAAGGAGCGAAGTAAGGGTGACAAAGTCATAGATGAAGCAGTGGCTGTCCATCTGGTCTTGTGCAAAGCTTTAGAGCATCAGTGGAGCAGAATAACGATTCAGTTCCAAAGCCAGGACCTTATGCGACAGTTAAAACACAATAGCCCCTCTAACAGTAGGCTAGCTACCTTGATAGACGACATACTGAGCATGCAAAAGTTGTTTCGAATGTGCTTGTTTAGATTGGCTAATGAAGATAGTATTACACGAGCTAGAGCTTTAAGTTCTTATGCCTTTGGCATTTTAGTGGATGAGGAATGGAATTTCCTCGGTGCCTGATGTGCACTAGTTGTAAAGTGTTTTTCGAGCCGTTGCTCGTACATGTAATTTCCTTTTCAAATGAATGAATAGCTTCTAACGTTTCGAAAAAAAAAAAGGTAACAGCTCTACAAAGGCAAATCTGTTGAGTTAATCGCATTGTAAAAAGAGAGAATGTGCCAAGCAGTTTAATACAATTCAATAGGAAACTATATATGTAAAGTTGTCGAGAGTATTAGGTACCTGAAGTATCTTCGATGTTTTTGGGAAGAAATTTGAAGCAGTTCATACACGTGAATGAGTCAGCTATTAGTGCAAGACGAACAATAATGAATTGAGTGAGAAAAACATGGTAAAGGATCATCTATTGAAGAATAGATTTTTATGTTCAAGAAAGCGTGGAGGGATCCAAGAACAAATCATTTGAAGCAGTTGCACACCTTTATCATGTGTGCACTATAGTCTAAGCACATATGATTGTGGTTGGTGCTTGAAGAATTACCTTGATTTTAGACAATTCAGAGAAGTACAGTTATACGCCTGAAATAACTGTTGCTATGGGAGTAGTAATATTTATATAAAGATGATAGAGATGAAGACCTTCTTCATAAGTGGAGAAGTAGGAGAGACCATTCTTTAATTTTGATGCAGTGTCAAATACAGAAACTTCATTACCTGTCGCATAGAAAGAAATAAACAATTGATTATATCAACTAACAAGAAACAAGCTATTATGGTAGTTCTGAATATAGTAAGTATGAGGCATTTACCACGATTGCATTGGCTGCCACAGCCAATTAATAGAACTTGTGAATGTCGAAGATGATTTCTATGTGTATCAGGGGCAAGAGGAGCAGGACATTTGCGAAGTTGGATAACTGAGAACCAGCATAAAGAATTTGCAAAGCAAGGAGTTAGGATAAAAGTTGGAAAATATGGAAAAGGAACCTGTTTACTGGAATTGCGAACATGGAAGCGTTTCATTGGAAAGTGATAGAATAATGGTACAGAGTGATTTTTTTTTTAAGTTTACCGTTGTTACACTGATAGTTGGATATAGGTAACTCGATCAAAAAGAGGACATGCGTGATGCAAATGCTGCTCAGTTAACTGCGGCATCCGTTTTCCTGTGCATAATAATAATTAGTTATATTTTTGAGTTACAGAAACTACAAAGTGAACATGTTTGCAAGCTTTGTTAACTGATAAGAAAGACATAAATTAACAACGTGTTTAATAGGTGCAGGGGCATACTCAAGGGAAGTATAAATGAGCAAGCAACCAGAAATTGTGGAATATATAGGTACCATCATCACAGTTGTTAGTAGTGACTGCTGTAGTAGGTGCTTCGCTGCGTGATTGTTTGGAAGGCTCTAGAGATTGTCGAGGAAGCGGATTGTACAACAGTTTGGTTAACTTTCTTCTGTGATATGCTTCTCTGTTTTTTCTTCGCCGAACTTCTTTTTGTTCGACATAAAGAGCAGCAAACTTCTCTCTTTTTTTTTATTTCTCTCATTTTTTTTCTCGATGATCATTATGTGCATATAACTCAAAGGAATTCACGGTGTTTGTATGATAATGGAGTAGATTTTTATTCTAGATATAACTATGCAGCAAAGGGAATAGAAGTCCATTGCATGAAATAACCAAATATCACTACTGGTAGCAAAGATACAAAAGGCGTTTGGAAGAACTTTAAAATAACAAACACGTTAAAGAAGCCAGTAAAACAATACCTCCATTGATCGTCAAGGCACAAAGCACTGAATCAAACTTCCTCGAAGGCTAAATAATAGATCTCAAGTCAGTAAACACAGATTTTTTGATCAATAAACAAATGAATGGAATAAAACATCAGAATGATATCAGATGAGAGTAAAGAAAAAATTATCGAGGAAATAATCATATTAGGGTACCTGGTGTATGAGCTGCTTAGTTCACAACAATTGACAAGAAGATTTACATGCAATCTGGGAGGTCGAGCATATAACAGAGCTTGCATGGAGACCATGTATGTCTTACAAGTCAATCAAAAGAATGAGAAATTACAAACGTAACCAAGCTGTAAGATGGCCTGGTCCACAAGAGAAGCATCTTGGAGGACAATTTGGTAAACAAGAAAATTTAATGGCCAACAGTTAATTAAATCCGGCTATCAATTCCGAGCACAAAGTCCCTTGTGTGGTCACATCGGCAGTGCGAATGCTGAGGAGATAGATAGCAAGGCTTGCAGCGTAAATTCCAAAAAGCAGTTCACTCCAGGTGATGCATATCTGTTTGAGATAATCACAATTATCTACATGCTTATCATGCATATCTGTTTGAGATAATCACAATTATCTACATGCTTATCATGTCGAAACACGTATATTTTATATATAATATCTATATCATATATATATATTATATAATATATAATATACACTTGAAAAATACGAATAAGGGACAATATACAAGATCTCTGTTATAAAAAGGAATTTATATATGTAATACTCATTATTATATAGTTATATAAAAAATGTGGAGAAAAAACTATATACAGAATTTCAGAAGAATAAGCATCTTTACAAAAATAATAAGCAAATTTATATATCTAGATATATATCTTTACTTATAAAAATATGAAGAAAGGAATATATACAAAACTTTTTTAAAAAAAGCACATGATTGATCTCTTTGATAAAAAAGAAACAAATTTATATATACATAGATATACACACACATATATGTAGCTTAGATTACAAATTTATAGCTTAGATTACACTGATTAACACAAACGAACTCTACATAATTTTTAACTGTATACTCTAATTAAATCCTATGACTTAATTATGCAGTTTGTAACCTTGAAATTGTGCAGTTGGCTGGAAATACCTTCTGTAAATGCATGAGGGATGAACACGAAATTCTAATTCGTAATTAAAATTTAATTAAATCAGAACGAAGAATTATACACATAGCAATATAGCATACATAACGAAACTTCTTAGGAGCCGAGGGTAATATACAAATAACGAATTCCGTGAGCAATTTCATAAATGTCGGACCCCACAGCGGCAGCAGCACAAAACACTATCCAAATTCGGTCCATTTCAATGTCCACTTGAATACAAGAGCTTTAAAGCGGGGAGAAGCACTCGAAAGTACAAACCCATGGAAGCAGAGTTTTGGATATCAATAAGAATTAGGTGTTTACCATGATTGCATTGACTGCCTGCGTCAATTGAAAGAACTTGTGAATGTGGTACATGATCTCTACAATCAATTGATAGACCTTGTAAATGCAGATAACAATTTGTACGTGTATGGTGTGGAAGAGAAGCAGGATATTTCCAAAGTTGAGTCGGTGAGAACCAGCATGGTGCATTTGCAAAGCAAAGAATAAGAAAAAAATTAGAAAATGTGGAAAACTCATTGGTATATTGAAATTGCGAAGATGGAAATGCTGTATTAAAAAGTGCCAAGATAATGGTGCAGAGGGATATTTTGTTGAAGTTTACCATTGGTACTCTGATACTTGGAGCCTGGTAACTGAAGATTAGAAAAAGGAGCTGTAGTTACATTTGTATCAGATGTTCCAGGAAGTGCATTTCTGCAATATTTTGGAACTGCAACTTTTTGAGGTTTAAACGTCAATATAAGTATAACAATAGAATTGGAATGTTTAAGGGATAAAAAGTGAATATGAATGTAATAATATGAGAAAAAAAAGCTGGGTGAATCTCAAGATAAATACCTGTGTCATGGAGATGCTGCTCAGTTGACTGTGGCATCAGCATTCCTGCGTATAGTAATAAAAATACTTGCATGGTTTCATTTTTTTAGTTACAAAAACTATGAAGTAAAGACGTTTGTAAGGTTTGTTGTGGAGTATATACGTACCATCATCATGGTTGTTGGTAGTGGCTGCTCTGAGAAATGGTTTGATGTTGGATTGTTTGGTAGGCTGTACAGATTGTGGATCAAGTGTCTTGGACAACAGCTTCCCTGTCTTTCTTCTGTGATACGCTTCTCTATTTTTTCTTCGATGAGCCTCCTTTTGTTCGACAGAAAGAGCAGCAAATTTCTCTCTCTTTTTTTTATTTCTCTCATTTTTTTTCTCACGAATTTTGAGATGATCGTTTTGTGGATATAACTCAGAGCAATTCATAATGTTTGTAGGGTAATAGAACAGATTTTTATTGTCGATATAAGCATGCAGGGAAGAGAGCAGAGTTCGTTGCATGAAATTGGTAAACCATACCAAAGCAGAAACTACAAAAGTTGTTCCGAAATACTTTGAATAAACTTAGGAGTATGTTAAAGGAGCTAGTGGAACAATACCTCCAGCGGTAGTTAAGGCACAGAGTTTTGAAGCAGACTTGTCCCAAGCTGAACAAGAGATCTGAAGTCACTAAGCACAGATTTTTTAATGAATAAGAAAATCAGTGGGACGAAACATCACAATGATATCAGAAGATACTAAACAAAAAATTATGGAACAAGTAACATTGGAGTACCTGGTGCTTCAGCTGTTTAGTTCAAAAAAATTGCTAAGAAGATTTTCATCCAATCTGGCCAGCAAAGCGTATAAGAGACGTTGCATGAAGACCATGTATATATGTCTTATAAGTGAATGAAGACCGGTCTAGAACAGAAGCATCTTGCAGGGGAATTTGGTAAACAAGAAAATGCAGTGGCGGACAGCTAGCTGAAGATGACCATCAGTTCGTAGTAAAAAGTCCCTTCTGTCCTTCTTGAGATGTACACCATACATATTAAACAGTTAGATTGCAGGGTCTGCAGCGTAAATTTGAAAAAGTATTTGACTTCAGATGATCCATATCTATTTCTATTGAGATCACAATTATCTATGTAGCTGTAAGTTGTACTTCTTGATACGCACGTGTTTATATATTGTAACACATATAAAAGTAAGACTTATCTATAATCACACTTATTTATGTACTTATATCTATATACTCATTGATACACAGATAAATATATATATAAATCCTGTCTAAATTAGTTATTTTTGAAGGTGTTTTCGAGAAATTTGGTTGGAATATTTTTAAAAAGTATTTAAGAATAGAATAGTTTCTAGAATATGTTTTGAAATATTTTTTAAAATTTTGAAATAATTTAAACTAATTTTTAGATTACCTTTTAGAATATTTTTTAGAGATTTTTATTCTATATACAGAAAATAATATAGAAGAGTTTTTAAAATATTATAAAAGTCAGGCTTATCTATAATTCGAATTATCTATGTATTTATTGATATACAGATATAGATAGATATATGGATCTCGTTTAAATTAGCTATTTTTCAGAGTGTTTTTAAAAAATTCTAATAAGATATTTGTAGAAAGTATTTAAGAATAGAAAAGTTTTTACAACATATTTTGGAATATTTTTAAAAATGTTAAAAAATTTAGACTAACTAATTTTTATGTTATCTTTTAGAAAACTTTTTAAGAATTTTTATTCCATATACAAATAATAACATATATGGAGCCGAAAAAATACAGAAAAGAATTGGAGACAAAATATCTTTTGTTGGGAAAAAAAATCTATATTTATTTAATCAGCAGATTAGCAGGGAACACAATCCATGACGTAAAGCTTCAAGGGTAGAGCTGTTAATCGAACCGGGCAGCTCGCGAGCCGAGCTCGACCCGGCTCGATAAGGGCTCGACTAGGCTCGTTTATTGAGAGAAACGAGCCGAGCTCGAGTTTAACTTGATGCTCGTTTAATAGACGAGCCGAGCTATGCTCGGCTCGTTTAAGCTCGATAGGCTCGAATAGTAGGGGTATTAGTGTCATTTCATTATGTATTTGATACTCTACAAGCTCGATAGGCTCGAGTTCGAACTCGAAATTGCTTGAATAGTAAGGGTATTAGCATCATTTTAATTGTGTATTTGATATTCTACAGGCTCGACAAGCTCGAGTTCGAGCTCGATAAGCTCGACTCGATTTTGAACTCGAGTTCGAGCTCGAGCTCGAGTTTTCTACCGAGCACATCGAGTCGATCTCGAATAGTTTGTGAAGCTCGAATTACTAATCGAGCGAGCTCGAGTTGGCTCGATTAGGGGTTCGAGTCGAGCTCGATTATCACATGCTCGAGCTCGACTCGGCTCGTTAACAGCACTAAGGGCAGCTGGATGTGCAGTCCAAGGTCCAAGGTCCAAATTGGCGGGTGTTTTTCAATGAATGTACAAAAGTTTGAAGCAAAGAGCGGCAGCCGAAAGTACAACCCATGAAAGCAGAGTTCCACTTGAAAGCGGCTCCACTGTAGAAACACAAAGTGCTTCTCATGTAAGGAAAGGATAAGGATATGAATATATTTATTTATAAATATTTATAAATGTATTATAAATACATAAATGTATATAAATATAAAAATTATAAATTATAAAAATACTCAAAAAATGTTTTAAAAATACCACTAAAAATAATCCAAAAAATATCTACAGTCAAAGTTTTTCATATAATTTTTGAAAAACAACTCCAAAAATAACTAATCCAAACAGGATTTGTATTTCAAAAACAAAATGTTACAGTGTTATTTTTGAAAAACAATCCCAAAAATAACTAATTCAAACGGATCCTATATTTGTTTGAATAAATATACATCATCATCCTTATATTGGAAATTACATACACGCAATTCATGATTTTTTATATTAGAAACCAGTACATGAATGCAATTGATGGTTTTTTTTTGTACATTTCAATTAAAAATTTTGATTAAAAATTTTTGTGGGACGAAGTTCAATTCATGGTTTTTTTTTGCATTTGAATTGAATATTTTCATTAAATTCTTGAATATTTGGGACATTTAGAGAAAAAGCTTTTTTTTCCTTCCCCATGCACACAGCTGTGAAGCACAACAGAAGCTATGAAAGCCAGGTGCACAGCCACCAGTCGAATGTTCAAATCACTGCAAAAGCTGAAGCAGCAGTGGACCAGTCAATGTACAAACCACCACTGCAAAGTACAATAGGATGAAGCAGGCACATTGAGTCCAGCAAGAGTCGGACCAACAACGTACAAACCAGCAACACTCACATCAAGTGGTTGGCTCCAATTTAGGAGAAACGGTAGCACCACTCAACGTACAAATCAGCAGCCCAACGTACAACAGCTTAAAGCAAGCGGATGCACTCGAAATCCCACCAACAGTAGAAGCACAAAGTGCTTCTTATAAATATTAGGGGTGGCAATTTTCGACACGACCTGAAAATACGACACGAACCTAACACGAAATTAATGGATTTGGGTTGAAGTTTCGGGAATTCGGGTCAGAATCGGATTGGACCCGATGAACCCGAAAAGAAAACAGGTCGATTTCGGATCAACCCGTGGTGACCTGATATAACCCAATATGACCCGTTTACGAATTAAAAATAATTTAATAAACATAAAAATAATTTTATCTAACTAAACTGAGTTATTCTTTTTTTCAAAGGCATTAATTACTTAATTCTAAATGAATTTATTTAATTTGTATGAAGTTGAAATTATTATATTTGGACAAATAATATATTATATTATTTTTTACTTTTATGCTGTTTTAATTTATTTTATATTTTGTTTGGGATAAAACACTTTTACGGTGTTTAATTTATTTTAGATTTGGTTTGGAATTATTTATTTCAATTTTTATTACTTGATTATGTAATTAGTTTTGTGAGAAATTGATTTTATTAGAAATTACAATGATAAATTAATAAATTAAAATTAAATTTCGGGTCATTTCGGGTCGACCTGCCAACCCGCCAACCTGAAATTTTCGAGTTTGGGTCAGCATACCTGACCCGTCACGGGTTGGAGGGTCGGGTTCGGGCCAACAGATTTTCTGACGGGTTAACCCGAACCCGACCCGCCAACCTGATTTGGACCCGAATTGCCACCCCTAATAAATATAAAGGATACTAGGATTTTCTTACAAATTCGCAGAGGTATCTAACCTATGATCTGAATAAGCAAAAAAAAAAAATCTAACCTATGATCTGAATAAGCAGCTCCCGCACTATATTTTCCTTTTTTGATCCCACTACAGTAGACAATCTTTGTAGCTGGTGTTGGCTCTCCAGCAATTTGAAAGTCACAAGAATAGAACCTCATAGTCATAGCTACACAATATACTGCCCCTTTTACCATCTCCCATGACCTTCTGGAGCACACCACCTAATACTTGTCTGATCAAACTTTAGCAACTTTAGACCATTATTGTTATACTCCCATCAATAAAATACCTAACACGATGGTGTACACCAATGTCCTTAAGTACTGCAGCAGTCTGGGGAAAAGTCTGCACGACCCACATTGAGAGTTAACACAGCAAAATCTCCATGTTGAACTCCAACAGAAAAAGATTAATGACGCTTGGAAATGATTATCCGCCATGGTTTTTCACAACTTCGATGCAAGTTGCTCATACCATCTAAATAGGAAACAATCTACTGGTTTCCTAATACTCTATCACATTCATTTGGTCTGCAACCTGTTAGTTTAGATACTTAAACAGTCCAACATTACAAAAATATTTTGCAATGACAGATATCGACCCGAATAGGTGAGTAATTGAATTGACAATTAATCAGTAACCTCCTCATTTGTTCATATTTCATACCACCAATATTTCACAAAGTAAAACTTCAGCATAGAAGACAATATATCAAAATGCAACCACCAAATACCAAGAAAACAGAACTCATTTGACTAACTTAGGCTCGCCTTCAAAAAAATTTACCCAGAAAAATTGTTTTCCCTGAAGCAAACTTATAATTTAGGATCCAGTTAAATCAAATAGTAGAATTCTTATTTACATCTTAATAAAAGGGGGTGTTTAGCACGCAGTTAAGGACTGACCAATTTTTATAAAAATGAAAAAAGAAAAACAAAACAAAACAAACTGTAAGATACTGCATTTAGCACTAGTTCTCATCTTTACATCCAAGGGCTTAGTATTTCCTAATCTACCAAAGACATTTCCAGGCAGCACAAACATTACACACTCCGAGTTCGAAACAATGCATGCATAGCTCAAGGTCAAACTGGGGAGGTTTAAATGAAGGTAACAATGAAGAAGACAAAAAGAATAAAATAACTTTTCAAAACTGAGAATACAAAGACAAAATTACCGCAAAGGGAAAAACTAAATGCTTTTTCCCACTACCAGCAAACTTTTCATACCTAGAACTGGGTAGAGCAGATTACCAGTTAATAGCACATAAATCACCTTCTATTGCCGTCATTGGCCCCTCCTAGACACAAACACACAAATCAAACAAACAAGGGGGCATACAAAGATGATAGAAAGAGGTATGTCAAAACAAGTGAGGATGCAATAGTCGCGATCCTAATTCATTTTTAAGATTAAACCCAAGGTTCATCAACAAAAAGTGCAACAGATCATCAGCAAATTTCTAAAATCAAATCTCAAAAGATTCACAATTACATATCCAGAAATCAAATTTATTCATTAAGCAAAGCCAATCATATAAAATCTACACCCTGTGACCCAACGTTGCCAAAACCAATAATTATTACCAAGTACAATGCTCCTGGAAGAATGAGTCATGAAGGATGCCACTCCACTCCTCACTACTAATTAAGAGCTCCAACAGAATGAAAGTTACTCAAGTGAAAATAAAGCTGCATAGCTCCTGACAATGTATTATATTGGAGATTGTAGCAATCATAAAAAGCAATATCGGATGATACAAGTCAAGCGTCAAGAACGCTGAGAGCTAACTTAAAGAATTAGCACGTCTAATACCTAAAACATGTAACCATGTTAAAATTTATTCATGTTCAAACCAGTCAAAAACTAAGTTTTAACTTTTGGACGGCAGAAAATAACCTCCACCTTATTTATTCCAGCGTAAACCTTGGCTTGGAAGCTTTTTCCATCAGGATCATCAGCACTCTGAGCTCGAAAAGTTATATTGTACATGTAACCAGAACACGCATATCCAGTTACCCGCTCAATATGCAAAAACTGGTATCCTGGTTGCTTCTGCAAGAGTGATTCATAAAATTCAGAAACTCAACAATAAGAAGGTGAAAAAAATTAGACAAACAAACACAAAAAATGCAAATGCAACGCACCTCCTCCAGGGCCCTAGTAGCAAACTCGATGAGCTCTTGATGCAGTTCAGGGTAATCCACATAAGAGGTGATTGGCCTAACGAGAAGGTACGGAGAAGGACCTGGATATGTAACCACATCAAATCCCTGTTCATCCATCATGCATCCAAGTCAACAAGGCAAGTAAAGCACAAATGGAATAATACCTTTACTATTACTTATATACAAAAAACAAAATTATAAAGCGAAGACTCATGAGTCCTATTGAGAGTCTCTCTTTGGTAAATGAAGTACAAAAGATTTTGCAAACTGCACGGTGCATCTAATGGAACTGATTTCAGAGGGCATAACATACAAAAATACAGAGACAAAGAAATAAAACAGATAACCCTAAATAAAAAAAAAGGTACAATGGAATTAAAAAAAAAGACAAAGAAGGAGGACTGGAATTGTACTAACCTCACTTTCTCGACACTCTGCCACGTATTTTTCCCATAACTTGGGATCTACATCGTGGACGAAGAAAGACTTGACAACATCGTCAAGTCCACCAATTGCACCAAGGTTAGATGGAAAAGAGGGCACTGACTTGCAATACTCCTGAAGTTCCCCCCGAATTTGCTCCCTTGATTTATGGCTGAGGTCCCCATTCCTCTCCTTCCAGTCCTCCAAGTCAAACTCCTTCGCTTCCTTCTTTCTACGATCCCACCATTCCTTCCACACTTTTGCCTTCCGATACTCCTCTTCCTCCTCCACTGCCTCCTCAGCAATTTCAGGCAGCTTCTCTAACTCTCGCTTCTTCCGGACATTCTCCAACTTGCTGTCGCTGCCCTCGCCCTCTTGGCTGCTGCTGCCGCTTCCCTCTTGGTTGCTGCTGCCGCCCTCTTGACTGCTGCCGCCGCTGCCCTCCTTGTCGGAGCTGCCGATGCTCTCCAAGGCGAGGCTCTCTTTGTCGCTGCTGCTCCTCTCTTGGGAGCAGATCTCTTGGCTTCTGACATGCGAGAGAAACTCCAACTCGATTCCAGGATGCTCAGGGATCATGCCTTTCATTTCAGGATGGTCGAGTAGATGCTCAGGGGTCATGCATTCATCGTCGCTGCTGGAAGCCATGGCAAGGAAACCTAATTTCTTTTTGAAGGACAAGGAAACCCAATTTCAATATGAACAGTGCCTTGAAATAATTCAAGTTCGATGTGTAGTACTATATAGGACAACTAGGAGGGTATCACCGCGCAAGTGCTTATCTGTGCCAGGAATTAATTAGTGCATGACCAGTTCCTAAAACCAAAATTTAAGTAGAAACCAAATTATATCAAACAAATCATGATTTGAGTGCAGATTCTACTTGTTGAGCCCCAAAACATGTGGACAATTAGAACCAAGACAGTAGAAGCTAGGGAAATACTCTCTAACTGGTCTTTGGTCGTAACTATGATAGTCACTAACATGACAATGCAGTAAAAGGCAAAACAAAAGATGAAATTAATGTTTCCAGGTCTATCAAAATATTGTTTCCAATGGAATTTAAAGATAGTTCAAGCCATTGCAAGACATTAAAGGATCATTCAGCATACAAACACAAAGGCAAAAGTAAAATCATTTTTACTTAGGACCAAATAGTAAGCTAAAGAACATCTCTCAAATCATCTAATACTCCATAACAATGGGACACGTAAATTTTCAGAAAACTAAACCAGTGTAGTGTTAAAGCTACCTTTAGAAGCAAATCATCAAACACAAAGCATGCTACTATTGTAAGAGATGATCACACACCTTAAACACTGGATGTTTACTTTGCTATGCTTCTTCTTGATTCTTTCACACTTACAAAACAATCAATAATAACAAAAGCAAACATTTCTGCTAGGAGGTCAATTTTGGGGAAAAAAAAGCTAGAAAAACTCAACAATAAATTCATCAAATGGCTGAAAATTGATGCGAAAGTGCGAGTTTTTCTTCGTGTTTTTGGCTAGGAAGGCAAACAGGGGTGGGGAGGGGAGATGTCTAGTGCTTTCCCCTCTTTGATTCTCTCCTTTTTCTAGGAAAAAAAAGAATTCCGTGGTTGGGAGATGAGATAGTGTACATAGAAGGTAAATCGGAAGGGCAAGCACAAATTGCGGGGGAAAATCACTAATTTTTTGGCCAATAAGAATGTTTTTTTAAATATACTTTATTAATATTTCGATGCCTTAAAATACCACAGAAAACCAGTAAAGCGCGGCAATATCTTCTTAAGAAGCATAGGCAAAAACTTATCATAAGAGTAAATAGCCAAACATATAGGCACATAACACTAATATTAAAATATTTAACATATCAGCCCATACAGTATTAACAAAAATTTCAGCAAATTAATGATAAAAATCAAAGGTAAACTAACCTGGAATGAACAGAAATTTTACTGCAAAACCTTTTCTATTTTCGGACCAAAGCTGAAAATTACAAAAAAAAAAAAAATACTGATCAGTATTTATGTTCATGGTGCAAAAAAATAAAGAAAAAAAGAATGGCAAGAAATGTATTTACCAGGATGCAAGGGAACAAAAGGCACCAAACCACTTGCGAGGATTTTCCACTTTCCAAACAAAGCTGAAAATACCCAAAAAAAAAAAAACAAACACTAATTGTGTAGCATTCGTGTGTCTGCTATGCGAAAAGGAAAAAAGCAAACAAGTTTTAAATTTTTCTTTACCATAGAGGAATACACCAAAAGGCAAGAAACACCTCTATTTTTCTTTTCACCTATGAGAAATTGAAATAAGATGTATATCCTATAAAGCCTCTAACCTCAAGCGCCCTTTTCTATTCCTCCGATTTTGAATACTGATTCTACTTCCCTCTTACTAAGCAGCCATCAAATCGAAACCGAGAGAGTAAAATTTAGAGTCAGAAATTGTTGACAAAGATCTGAAGGTTGAGAAATAAGGGTTCGTACGGGCTTAGTGAATCAGACGAGGAACCATTTTTTGGGCAAAAAATCCCTGAATCTTAGGGTAAGAGTGTACACCTAATCTATGGAAAAATTTGTGGGTTTCATGTCGGCAAGAGCAAATACCTCATAAAAGGAATAAATCTACAGTGAAAATAAGAAGAAAATGCGGTGATTGTCAGGCATAAAAAAAGGAAGAGAAAGGGGGAGAAGAAACAGAGAAGCCAGAGAGAGAAGAGACGGAAAACTTACCCAAAAAGGAGAAAAGACGGGAGAAGGAAGATAACAATCATCAGTTCATGCAAACTCTCCAGGCAAGGAAAACAATCAATCCTTTAATCATCATTAGGAATGATCCAACGGTTCTCAGGCATCAATCTTAGATTTAGACACAATCCAACAGCAGAAAGTTGCCAGAAAAATCTTTATTATCCTAACAAATGCAACTAACAAAACACAATAAAAAAGAGCATATGGTTCGAAATTACAATAGTACCCCCCAACAGTTAGAAACTATTCTGACCTCCTTTTATCCCTGAAGGGCTTAGTGGACATTTAACACTTGACAGACAAAAATGCCCGTGAATAGTAGAGCACTATTTGCCAAAACAATCAAAACTCAAGGGCTTAATTGACATTCGCCACAATTTCAAGACAAATTTTTTAAAGTCCCCCAGTCTCCTTCGAACATGTGGCACAATGTGGTGCCAAAGTCTTGCATGTTTATATATATACTAGGAGGTTATCGGCTGTGCTTAGCACAGCCTAGGCCCCCTATAATCTATTGTCATATATTTTCGTATAAGGTAAGATTAACAGTAATGTTTGTGAAATAGGATTCTTAAAATTATAAATTACCAATCAAGCATGCAACTATCAATATAAGACTAAACAAAACCAAAAAATCATTAGCATTGCACAAGATAAGAGAAGATGACAAAAGATTAGCAATTAGTGTTACAAACAACTTGATATCTTCAAGTGCAAGTTAGTCTTACAGAGATAGGAGATGACTTGTTGAATGCTTAATATAAAGTGCAATGATAGGTAGCAATTACAAAAGATCACATATTGAGATCCATTAAGGTGCACAAAAGAACAATTTCTTAATGGATGTCAATATTATGTCAAAAGATGCAAGATTAGTAATTCAGCTGTAAAGTGCTTCAACATTAGCAAAATTAGCAATTCAAAAGGTTTCAAGGAAGTTCAGAGTTCATAATCACGCTGCTTCTTCAAGGGACTTCCAGGTGCATTGGTGGGCAGCAAGGTAGATGTATTAGCTTCAGCAAAATTCAAACCAATTTTGGAAGGTACAGTTCCAAAAACCAAGGCACAGCCAGCCAATGCCCAATCTACTATGTAACAAATATTGAAAAATTCCTTGCCACTCTTATTTTTAAACTTGGGCACAGTTGTATCTAAATCCTTATTCTATATTAGAAATAAATTACCCATTTGAAAAGGTTCAAAATTCTCATTAGACTGAATAATCATTCATCTAAGTCCAATAACACAACTAATACCCAACCAATTGTGTAGAAAATATAATTCAGAGCATCTAAATTGTAAGTAAGTAATGACAGTTCACCTCAATTAAGCTAAGCAAGTATGAGTTGAAAAGTTAAGAGGGAAAAAAAATTGCAAAAACAAAGAACAAAATAGATGCAGAACCATAAGAGATTTTTAGTCAATAATCACAAAATGAAACAAAAGGAAGAAACCACAGCTTTGTAGCAATTTGATCCATTTTGAAGTTAACAAATACCTAATTTAAAGTTGCTAAGCAATATGACAATTTAATTACTAATTCTAGCATGTGGTTAAATTCTAATATTTGAGACTTGTTAAGCTTGGTCTAAACGTTTACTGCCTATAAACATAAAAACAATTTATTCTAGTACCTTGTAATTTAGTGAAAATTGCCATAGGGTTGAAAGCAATTGGTTAGCTTGTACAGTTCAAATTCATAGAATATATAAATAAGACGTTTTACCATGAGATTTACTTTGTCCGGTACAACTAAACTGTACCATGAAAACCAGCCAAAAGATGTGAAGAAGGGAACAAAAAGGCTCCATTAACAATAAAAAGCCTCTTGAATGGCAAGAAAGAAGGGAAGAAAAGCCATTTTGGTTAAAGGTAAAGTCTAAATTGCAAGATTTTCCTGCAATAATAAGGTGACGCTCAACTAAAGTAATAACAAATATAGGGAGCACTAATTCTGCTATAATTTACAGTATAGTCTCAAAATATCATCCTGTTAAATACACAGGCCAATCCCTCAGAACAAATTGGCAAAATTTGAATGAAAAACTCATACTCTAGCAAAAGAAAATGAAAGGGCAAGATTTATGCAAAGACACGAGGAAAAGGCACTTGAAAAAAATCTAAAATAATGGAAATCCTTGATGACTTACAATGCTTTTCGTCATTTGTGGCTGAAAGCCTGGGACCTAAGTACGCACAGAACTATCAAAAATAGATCCATCATTTAATGGAATAGAGATGCAAAGCAAATAAAGAAAACAGACTTTCTCCTTAATGAATGGAAAACGAAGCTTGTGAAAGAGCATTCAAATAATGAATGACCAGGAAAATCACAACCGAAACTTGATTAAAAATTTTTAAAAAAAGAGAGTAAACCTTTTAAATAGTGAATGACATAAAATATACCATATCTTAGAGTGTTGCAGCACTATGGAAGAGGAAAAAGCCCAACTTTCTCCACCTGCAATCACCCAAAAAACATGTAAAATTTAGATTAGTAAAAAGGGGAGAAAAAAGTGAAGAGAAAATTAAATACACAAAAATAAAATTCAGAATGCCTAAGCAGCGACTTTTGGATTACCAATCGAAGATAACAATCACGATGTCTGCAAAGCACTACATGGAAACTATTAACTGCCCAATTTCCAAATCGAAAGTATCTAGGTTCTTAACCTTCCCCATTGGAGAAATTTATCAAATAACAAAAAATCATTCCACAGGGTTAAAATATTTAGGCAGATAAAAGATTTAGAAATTTATCTGAATAATAAAAAACCATTGCACAGCATAGCAATAATTAGGCAAATAAAAGATTAAATAGTTTAAACCAAGTACTCCAACATCCTAACTCATTAGATTTGGTTCCACCGCCGGCTTAACATAAACTTTCGCATTATCAACTGAATTTTAGAAATATCTAATTCAACTTGCTCCAATCAATAAAGTGAAAATTCACACTTTAAAATTTCAATTGTCCTATTTCCCGTAACTACTGCATCAAACTATCCAACCGAAGCAAAACTTTCCAGTTTTCCACACCCAATTTGATGACATCAACAATTTGTAATAAAAAAAGGAACCGTCTATAACTAAACAAAGACAACAATATACACAATCCCACGTAGTACACTACTAAATAACCCATCTTTATATCTTGAAGCTAATCTTCAAGATCTATCTCCCAGAAGAAAATGCTTAGTTGGAATGCTACAATTTTTACTCCATTGCAGGGCTCGCTGGGAAGTTTATGACAGCAAAACAGAGGATACCAATTAGCAAAGATAGGTGGTATTAAGCTAAGGTGACATTAAATAAGTCATAAATGCCCAAGATAGCAAATTTACAGGTAATTTAGAGTAAAGGCCCCAATCTTTTTTGGGACTGAGGCTATTTAAATCAAAGGTACAAGAAAAATTCAAGATTTACAGCTTGGGTTCTGAGTAAAAAATTTGAGGCATCTCTAATTGGGCAAATCAGTTGGGCTGGAGCAGCAAATTTCTCTGACTTCATATAAGTCTAAGATTTGGCAGCAACTCCAGCACTATTCTCAATTTCTTGATTTCAATAATTACCTCGCTTTCATTTTCGCTCGTGCTCAGGTCTTCTATTTTCTCTCCTCTTTCTGCCTCTCTTGCTTTCCTTATAGTAATTTTGAGCACTCAAGCAACATTTCTTATTCTTCTTGTGGCAATCTCGGCCAAAGAAAAAATACCAAAAATACCAGAAAAAAATGAAGAAATACCCGAAGCCAACAGCATCAAACTATTCTTTCCTTTTCTCCTCCTGAACGTTTGCTCTTCAAGATGCATGAATCAGATCAAGCTAGGCAATAAGACAAGGAGACAAAACATTAATAAATTTTTTATTTCCCTTCTTAAAGTGCAACGAAGTTTTGTTGTTGAAAAAAAGGAAAAAACAGAACAGTTATGGCAAGAAAGTAAGGAAACAATTATGCATAAGGGGAGAAAAAGAGGAAATAAAACTGAGAGAAAAAGTAAAACCCATTCCTGTCCTTAAAGGGCGACGAAGATTTCCTGCAAAAAAAAAAGGGAACAAAACGGTTATGGCAAGAAGGGTTAAAATAAGGAAGAAATATGCACAAGGGAAAAAATGGATAATAAAACCGAGGGGGAAAACAAACCCCGTGAGTACATGATTCCAACACATGAGGGAAAAAAATTAGGGAGAATAAGAGGAGTTCTATTCTCGGACAAAAACCTAAGCAAGAAAAATTGATTAAATTAGATCAGATCAAAGAATGTTTATAGCACAAGAACACTATGACTCAACTGATTTTTTCACCATCTATTCTCCCGTAACAAAAGGGAGATGGAAGAAGAGAAGAGAACAGGAAAGTTGAATTTGATGGGGATCTCTTCAGATATATCATTGACCAAATCTTCGGGAATGCACAATGTATGAGAGAGAGGCTAAAGAATGAATGGGACTGAGTGGTCATCTCAAGTCCATCGCTTCAAGGAAGCAGTTTGGAGTGGTCTGCAGCCGGCAGAGTTGGAGGAGCAGTTCGCCGACTTCCACCGAAAACGTCGTCACTAAACAGAACCTTTCCAAGTAGTTTCCCGCCTTTGAAGTACAATTATCAGGTGAGCAATTTTTGCAACATGAAATCAATATAGAAATGGGTTAATTTGATATCAGAGAAAGAGGAAAACACGGCAAGGGTAAGCAAGAGCAGTTCACCTGCTCTTAATTTTCCTTCTTTGAAGTACAAACTCATGTGAGTGACCCGTAATCTCTGCACCATGAAATCAAGTGTCTGCAGAAGTAGCAGTTGAACTGCTGGCTTGAAGAAGGCACTGACAAAACCCATCTCCCAAATCATGTAAAAATCCCAATTTTTTTGGTTGGATTTGCCCAGAATAGGCGCGCCGAATTTGTGCTCAGAACAGCCGTTGGTACAGAGAAATAAATAAAGGCCTTCAACGGCAAAAGAAAGAACAGGGGTTCAATGAGAAATATTTGACTGTCCAATGAGAAGGAAACGATTTAAAAGAAAAGGAACTTGATAAATGGGGTTTTTGTTCAGTGGAGTCGGTTTTTTTGCTTTTCCGCTTCATAAATGGGGTCAAGTGCTGTTTTTGTCCCAGACATGGTCTAATGAGAAAAGCAACGGTCCAATGAGAAATACATGTGATTTTGCCACATGGCAAAAGAAAAGGAAAGCACAAATAGAAAGAAAAGAAATGGTCCAGTGCCAAAAGAAAGAGAATGCTCCGGACAAGTTGCAAAGAGAAGGCTTCAACAACTTGCAAGAAATATTTGGCTTGCCACTTGTCAAATAATAAAGAAGTCACTTGGCAAGAGGAAATGAAAACAGTAAACCTTGCTCTTTTCTTATATACAAGGTAGATACTAGAATGGTTCTGCTTGCACAGCCAATGCCCAATCTATTGTGTAACAAATATTGAAAAATTTCTTGCCACTCTTTATTTTTAAACTTGGGCACAATTGTATCTAATTCTTATTCTAAATTAGAAATAAATTACCCATTTGAAAAGGTTTAAAATTCTCATCAAACTAAATAATCATTCATCTAAATCCAATAGCACAACCAATTCCCAACCTATTGTGTAGAAAATATAATTCAGAGCACCTAAATTGTAAGTAGTGACAATTCTTATGTAGATGTATATAATGTAATAAGGTGTTTACCATAGCTCACGCACACCTATTAAAATTGAAGAAATGTTGATCCTAACAATATTAGATATGAACATTATTTTTTATTTTTATTAATTGAAATACCAACCTAAATACTGTTATTATTTGCTGTTCTTTTTTCTTTTTAAGTTTAAAAATTTTTTAAAAGCATTTTTAGGCTAGAAGATTAAAGTTTTAGCTGAAAAGAAATCCGATATTAGAGATTCTTATAGAAAAGTTTATTAAGTTCAGTGATTTTGTCGTATAATTGAAAAACTTTTGTGAATTGCTTGCTTCATTGGTTATCAGGTTGTAAACATAGCATGCCAAATACGTTCACTGGCAAGATGTGGAATATATTAAGTGCGTAATCATATTTAAAAATGGGGCTAAATTTGTATTAAAAGTTTAGAAGAACACATTGGCTACACTGAAACTAATAAAATAGGAAAAAATGAATTTTGACAATCAAAACCAAGACTCAATAGTCCAAGAAAAGGGAGCAATGAAAAAGAAAGGAGGATTATTTGACCCAACATGCAAAAAATAACCCTTAATAGTTACCTAATGTTTTGAGAAGATGTTATATCTGGTAGGGCAAAATTGTCATGAAATGGTAAAAGACGTACAAGCCCCTTAACAGTAGTTAACTGCTTAGTATATAAATTAAAATTTGGAGGGCATTGTTGGCAAAAGACAGCTGCTACAGTACACCCCAGCTCCTTCCTTTTGTTTGTTGAGAGGAAAAAGAAATAGACGGTAAAGAAATAGGAATGAAGCAGAAAAAATAGTAGGCTAAAAGTCAAAAGAAGCGGCAAGTGATTCTGTAGAGGAAGAAGGGAAAGACACGGAAGAAGAGGAGGAAAGGTGCAGGTGAAAAACCAAAATTCAGCCCAAATAGTGAGCTACTATTCTGAAAGCCTGTTATGTCTAGAAGGACAAACACGTAATTTTAAGTAAAAGAACAAAAATGCCCTACAATAGTTATACACTGTTTAGACTAGGATACACTTTATGAGGTTATTGCTGGAAAACAAAAAACACAGTAGCTGCTCTTCTCCCATATTTTGCAACGTGGATCAACGTGGGAGAAGAAGCCTTAGGTTTTTATATATATGTATAAGATATATAAACTACTTAAAGCCGCGAAGCCTGATGAACAGTTGATTTTGCCGGTTTCGCTGTGGTTTTGCAGCTAATTTTGTCCTTTTTCATCTTTTCGCGGGCTTCATGTAGTGCCCTTGCTTCTGTTTCCGCTTGTCCTTGTTGCTTTTTTTGTTGCTTTGTTCCCATTCTGCCCTTTCCCTTGGTTCGCCTGTAATTTTGTCCCCAATTTTGTCCTTTTGTTTCTCCTGGATCTTCCGCTGTTGCCTGACTTTACTCACAAATGTTAGCTTTTCTCCCCAATTTCGTCCTTTTCTTTCTCCTCCATTTTCTTTCTTCAAACGATAATTCTCTCTTCTCTTTTATATTTATTATGATATTCATTAATCAATAAATTAATTACTCAAAATATATATATTAACAAACATATTGATTTTGTAAAAAATAATGCCTCGAGTCACCTTATTGTAATTTAAATTTCTGTAACACATAAGCTCATGTACTATTCGTTGACTTTGAATAAGATATTCATTAATCAATAAATAAATTACTTCATGATTAGATAAATATAATGAGCTAACAAGTGTTAGTAATTTTTGACATCAATGATCTAATAGACTGTTTAAAATTACTCTTTAAAATTGTGTTTTTTCTCCATAACACAGAAGCCCATGTACTATTTGTTGATTTTGGGTAATATATTCATTAATCAATAAATAAATGACTTCATGATTACATAAATATTAATGAGCTAACAACCATGATTAATTTTTCATATCAATGAGCTAATAGACTCTTTAAAATTGTGTTCGCTACAAGGAATGCAGATAACAGAAGGTTGGCAGATAACAGAAGGTGGTTCAACCGGTCAACCCGGTGAACCGGCCATGAAACCGGGCTAGTCCAATGCTGATTTGAACCTCCGACTTCAAGCATAAAAGCTACGCGCACTCACCACTAGCCTAGCAGTTCACTTGGTGCTTATTCACTCCTTCTATATTATATATTAGATTTTTATTCTTATTTTATTTCTTCAAAACAATATTTGTTTGGAATCTTTTAATAAAATTTTATTATTCTCTAAATTCTATAAATTATGAAATGGATTTAAAAAATAACATATTACACAATTCATTTTAAAAACAAATATTATTCTTAATAACCTTTTGTGCTTAAAATTCAAAAATAAACTAGATAATTACACTTAGATAAAATTTTATACTTGAAGTTTGGTGGATTACTAATTAAATTTAGGTTTTGTTAATTCTTATAAGAATTAATGATTCTATAATAAATTGGACTAACTGAGTATTTACTATAAGGGTTAATCGCACTTTATCCCCTTTAAGTATAGGTCATTTCTCACTTTACCCCACAACGTTTGTTTTTCCTCAGTTTATCCCATCCGTCAGCAATTGCACGTTAAAAACTTCAAGATGCCGAAATTGCCATTGGGTAGTTAATAGGGCTCCATAGTTATTGCAAATTGATTTTTGAGTTGGATGTGTGCATTTTTCATCAGCAGTTCAAGGTGGTGCATGGTTTTCTAATTGATAATATTTCTGTTGAATTGTCACTTTCACAGTCTCTTAAGTATTTCCTTCCTCCAGCACCTAGTTACCCTCACTCTTTCAATTTCATCAGTTGAACACTTAAAAAGTTGCTTAGCACTTTTTCCTCCTTAAAAGAGATTTTTTTCTTCCAAAGATTCAGACTATCACTTTTTGAATAAACATAAAAAGTTTGATTTCAAAGAACAGCAGAGTGAATCTGCTATCTAATATACTGTGAACTTTAACTAATCCTCAGGCTAACATGACAGTTCAAAGCCTTTAGAAACAGTTTGGATTATTCTAGCAGACCCACGAGTACTAATCCAACAGAGCAAAGCAGAATATGAGCAAAAAATTACAGAGGAGGAAATTATCCATTAGGAAATCACAGATGTTTCAAACTAACCTAAGCATCAGCCAGTAAACGTGCAAGAAGCTTTCTCACAAACATAAAATTCAAAAAATTATATGCTTCTTCTTTTTCCTTCTCTGCTTCTTCTGCCAAGAAGCGCAAATTCAAATTCCACTTGTGACACCCCGAGGCAGAAGAAAAGGGAAAAATTTCTGGTGAATAAAGTTTTGTGGGAAAATCCGGCCAGAAGCCGTGCAAATTCCTTATATTTTTCTTAAAATTCCCTTTTCTTTGACAAATACCACTTTATAATGGCCATACTACTCAATCACCCCACAATAAGTGCCAATGAACCTAGAAAATAGGATTTTTTACTTCGGTTTCAAATTGAGCAAAATTAGGTTTTCTCGATTTTCTCGCCGGATGAATTTTCGGTATGGAGCAAGGATTAAATTTGGTGAATAAAAGTGACTTTTAAGTGAGAAATAATATGTGATTAGGAGAAATGAAATAAAGTTAGTGAATGGGAAGTAAAAACCCTAGTGCGGGTGTTTTTAAGGAAAACGGCGCGAACCGACGGGTCCCGCGCACTACCGTTTGAACGCACCATTGGACCACCACTTTCTTGCACCACAAGCTTATTGATATTTGAGCCAAAATATCTTCTTATGTTACAGCTAAGGGGACCAAAATTTGTGGCTTATAAGCAAGGGGAAGAAAGAGAAAAAATTAGTGGCTAAGAATTGTCCAAGTGTTAGCCAAATTGTGGTCTTAATTAACTCTAACCTTCTTACTTCTTATAAGACAAAAATCAGCTTCATTTCTCTTCATTTTCTGCCAAGGGAGCCGAGAGAGGGAGAGGGAAGAACAAGAGTGAGCTTTCTTCATTTCTTCTTGATTCAAACTACAAAGTGAGAAATCCAAAGAACTAAACCGATTAATCTTGTCTTTGAGGGGTTAGATAGTGTTTGGTGGTGAAAGTTTGGCAAGGGAAAGCTTGGGGCTGCCCTTAGTGATCTCTAACCAAGGTAAGAGAACTTATCTCTCCAAGTTTTAGTTTCAATCTTGTTCAATTAAGCTTGGTAACTTGATTTTACGGTGAAATCATGGATGATTAACATGTTTTAGTAGTTTTCCCCTTTCTTATTTGATGAACTAGGGCTTGGGGAAATTCTGCCCAAATTGTTGTAAGATGCTTATATGTTGCAATTGAGGTTTCATAAGGTGTTGTGGTAGTGATTAGACCAAGAAATTA